GATATTCCATTCGATCCTGTTCGTTTCCTCAGAATAGTTGAACAGCATAAGGTGACGTGGTGTATGCATTCACCTCTTCACTTGGCATTGACCGGAAACAGCCCCGAATTAGAGAAAACCGACATGTCAAGCATACGAACATTTCTTTATGGAGGTGCTCGGTGTTCCTTGGAAGCTCAACAGAAGATAAGGAGTCGATTGCACCAAGATGGCATGAACCTTGCATATGGCCTAACAGAGATAGGTGCAGTGACAATTAACTTCCATTTTGATCAGAAGCCCAACTCATGCGGCCGTCCTGTCGATGGTAAAAAGATAAAGATAATCGCTGAGAACGGCGATCATTTGGGACCGAACGAAGTGGGAGAGGTATGCGTGAGAAGCGGTCAGTATTGGGCTGGATATTATGGAAATCCGGAGGAAACTCAGAATGTCCTTGATTCGGAGCAATGGTTTTACACGGGTGACTTGGGCTATATGGATGATGATGGTTTTCTCTATATAGTAGATAGGAAAAAGGAAATGCTGAAGTACCAGAGCTACAAATATTTTCCGAATGAAATCGAAGACGTTATCTCCCAAATGCCAGATGTGGTTGATGTATGCGTCTTTGGCATTTGGGATCCCATGGGTAGCGACAAGGCTGCCGCTGCTGTGGTGAAGAAGGTAGGATCACAATTACAAGCTCAGGATATTGTGGACTACGTGCGGAAGAACATACCAGTAATGAACAAGCATTTGCATGGAGGTGCTATAATAGTGGATGATTTAAAGCGAAGTCCCAATGGCAAAACAAATCGCAAGGCCACTAAGGAATATTTTCTTAAACTAATGGAATCCAACTGATTTACAAACACACAAATGTTGAACACTTATTAGCCTATCTACTTAGTAATAAAATCGCTTTTCATAAAGAAATTCAAACACAATTGTTAGCCCACAGGTGGCGCTGCAGCAATTACAATAAATAGAATTTCAATGCATTTTATGCCTATTTACACTGCTTTATGACTGCTTAATTGCACTGCTTATTTAACGAGTGAAATGTGTAACGAACTGTTGCTGCTTCTACTTGTATGAACTGCTTAGCTAGAGTCCACAAATGTGGAACATAATCATAACACAAATATTTATGTATAGATTAAACGATATATGAAAAATTCCAAACACTGCGCGCTGATATTTTGTAGATTGCCCTTAGATGGTGTGGCTATGTAATATTGAAAGCTCGAGCAATATCTGGCCGAAGGTATTTTGTATTCTGTAAAGGCGAACATATCATGAAATAAGCGTCCCTTGCTATCAGCTGGACAGCTTTCTGGGCTTATCGCCAACATTGGTTGTATCTGAAGCTTTTTGTTGTTTTCGGGCGGTTCGTCTGATAGGTGACGTTTGTTAACCGTTTGATAGGATAGCGGTTAGCTGATAACCAACTGACAAGCTGGTCTAGTCAAAGACCACTCCAGGTGCTTGTCGGCAGTAGCTGAACGACTTGCGCGACGCTTGGACACTCTGCTCGACGCATCCACATTAAATCCACGTCTCTTATCAGTTAGCTAATGAAAAACATGGAGGGCGGCCCCAGCACACAGTTCGATAAATATACAAAAGTTTGGAGTGGACCAAGGCCGGCGCATTTCTTTGACGCCGATTGCTCCATTGGCAAAATACTGTTTGCCTTCATGCGCAACCATCCAGCAAGCCTGTGCCAGGTGAACTTCAAAGCAGATCAGTTCTCTCTTTTAGAGGGAATACTAAAATACTGTTTGCGCTTTTTATACAGATCTGCGACACGGAGGGCACAGCGCTGACAAATGGCGAGGCCATCAGCTTTGCCATACGCATCGCCCAGCAGCTGAAGGCGATGAATCTGCGTCAGGATGATGTTGTCGGCATTGCCGCCACCAACACCACATATCTGATGCCAGTGGTGCTCGGCTGCCTGCTCAACGGCACGCCCTTTCATGCCGTCAGCCCCTGGCACGATGAGCCCACCTTCAAGCACTTGTTCTGCATCACCCGGCCACGGATCATCTTCTGCGATGGCACTGTCTACGACAGACTGAGCGCCATAGCCAAAATGCTCAAGGCGCCCGTTTACACGCTCAAGGATCATCGCCTCCAACTGCCGCGCATTGAGGACCTGCTAGAGCCGACCAAACAGGAACTCCACTATATGTAAGTAAACAATACAGATCATGAAGGCAAATGTTTTCAGTATTTATACTTAAACAAAAAAAAAATATATATATATATATATATATATATACATATGTATGTATATATTAACAAAATGCTAGAATTGAAATCAATTAATTAAAAACAAGTGAGTAGGTAAAATATATTTACTTCTGCTTATAATTGTGCTCAGAAAATTGTTGGAGGTGAAATATATAGTTTAATTAAACTGTTACTAGTTTGGTACAACCATATATTAAATTAATTATAATATTGTAAAATTTTTTTTATTTTATTTATTATTATTTTTTTTTTTAAATACTAAATAATTTAATATAGTTCTTTATATTTATATATTTATTTATATAAATATATTTATTTTTATTTTATATTTTTATTTATATTTATAAAAAAAATGTAGTAAAAGTTAATTTTACAAAACACTAAATAATTTATTATATTTATTTATATGTATGTATATATTTATTTATTTGCTTTCTTGTTTAAGTAAACACTTTTACTTTTAGTGTCCACATTTTTTTCTAACTTCTGCATTTCTCTCTTCTGTTGCTCTTAGACCGGAGCCCCTGTTGCTGGGCGGGGATCAGACAGTGGCCATACTCTGCACCTCTGGCACGACGGGCTTGCCGAAGGCGGTTTGCATATCGAACTCCGCTTGCCTCTTCGACTTTGGGTAGGATGGGCAGAGTGAAGCTCGACTGAGAAACATCACATTAATAATGTAAATTAATCGATTCACTACTCCATAGTTTCGTCACCGGCCAAGACGTGCTGCTGTCCTTCAGCACCATCGACTGGGCACCGGGCTTGTTCAACATGCTCTACAGCTGCTGCCACGGCGCGACGCGCGTCATCACTGACCATGCCTATACGCCGGAGTACCTGCTGCAGCTGATCGAGAAGTATAAGGTGACGCTGCTGACTCTGGCGCCACAGCAGGTCGCCTCGCTGCTCAAGGCTCCCACGCTCAGCCAGCAGAGGTTGGCCAGCGTGCGCTTCATCAGCATTGGGGGCGGCAGTTGCTATGTGGCCAATCTGCTGAAGCTTCAGGAATATCTGCTGAATGGCCAGATCTCGTATGGCTACGCGCTAACCGAATGCGGGGGTGTTGCGGCAAACATGGGCGTGGCCAAGCCCTCATCCGTGGGCAGAATAGTGCCGGGAGTCAAGGTGAAGATTCTGGACGATGCCGGCCGCAGTTTGGGCCACGGCGAAACAGGCGAGATCCTGGTGCACAATGGCAAGGTCTGGAATGGCTACTACGGCAATCCGAACGAGTCGAAGCGCATACAGGACTACCAGGGCTGGTTCCACACCGGCGACATGGGCTACTTTGACAACGAGAACTTCTTGTACATCGTCGAGCGCAAGCGCGACATGCTGCGCTTCCATGGCGCCCAATACTGTCCCTACGAGCTGGAGCAGGTGATCGCCGAGCTGCCGGATGTGATCGAGGCGTGCGTCTTTGGCCTCTGGAACGAGGTCGACGGCGACCCAGCCGCAGCGGCGGTGGTCAAAGTACCTGGCAGTCGGCTCACCGAAATGGATATTGTGGAGTATGTGGCCAAACGCCTGGTGGTCAATCACAAGCAGCTTCACTGTGGCGTCTTCTTTCTCAGCGAGCTGCCCAAGACGGGCAGCGGCAAGGTGCTCCGACAGCAGGCCAGAGATCAGGCACTGGGCAAGCATTGGACCGACTTTCGCAATGGACATTAATTGCTATTGTATATGTATTTGTGTACATGTGGTTTATTGTGGCTTTAGGCCTTAGCATTTAGGCATTCTATTTATTAAATGACTCATACATTCCAGTATTCAATCAAAACAGTTGTAGTCGGCTGGCCTAACTGTCAGCCAGAAGTCTGGCTAAGTAAAGGCAAGCTGAAGCAAAGATACCCTTATATTTCTTTTGTAAGAGTTCAGTTTTCACTAGAGCAACCTCAATATAAAATTCATCAAATGTATATACTCTAGCATGAGTATAAAGTTTATTAAATGCATAGTACAGAATATACACTCTAACCTGAGTATAACGCTGATGAAATTCATATATCATATATACTTTAACATATATACCTTAACGCCATATACTTTGCAGAGTAAAATCAATTGCTGAATCGCGGCGGAAGCACTAACTGGCCGAAAGTTGTTTTAGATAGTCGTTAGTATTCGTCTTCAATTTTTTATTTTTTTTTACGGACTATGCATTTATTTTTTCCATTATCACGTGCTTATCTCGAATTGATTAGCCAACAATTGCGATATGCTGGCACCTAAATATTAAAGAGGAACCTGCTTTAATATAGAACGGTCCGTATTTGCAGTAGTCAGCCAGTTGTTTAGATATCAGTCTAAACAGTTGAGAGCTCTCCACTTACTTCTGTGAGAATTTTAATGGTTTTAGCTGTAGAGTCGCCAGCTTGGAGCACCATAAATAATATATAGAAAAGCCTGAGCTTTTTATTGTATAATTATAAAAAAGTGTTTTTCAGCAGCCAAAATATTCTAGGACCACAAGTAGTGCTGTAGCTACTACTTTATATTGAGGGATTTATAATAAAGATTGGATTGAATTTGTATAATCAGTCTCTAAAGAAAGCCTTATCAGTTATTCCTCTTTACATAGTGAATCACATTATGAAATAATGATCATTATATTAATGCGTAACCCAAATATCTTTATCGATCACTTATATCTCAGCCTATAGCTAACACAGACACTCCTACACAGCTAGCTGTTAGTTAATTCTCTCGTCGCCTTCGCTCAAATGAAATTGATCAACCGATCAGAAATCTGTCAACCCTCTGTGTGACATCTAAATTCATAGTGGCATAGATTAGCCCCATTTTCAGTTCAACAACCCTTTAACCTTTCCATTTCTGTTGAGGGTTAGTCCCCCAAACGCAAACTGATCGCATGTAGCATTTGATTGACAGCTAAGCCAAGTTGCACTTTGTACGTGATCTTGTCAGCATTGCAATTGGATACATTGCCCCCTCCTCGTCGCCGCATGAATCACGATCGCCGCTTGGGTGCAAACCCTAAAAATAAACTCAATGTTTGGATACGCCCAACAAGAGCAGCCGCAGCAGCAGCAGAAGCAGAAGCAGAAGCAGAAGCAGAAAAAACAATTAAACGGGCACTTAGACACTGAGAAATTAATTTCATTTGGGATCGCAGAGGATCATTGATAATGATCGGGAGCTCTTAGGTTGATTGACAGTTGCGAGTTATTGTTTTCAATGTCAAGTTCAAGTTCATGAAACACAATCTTTTTGGGGGGCATTTAGATGCATTTGTCATTGATCATGCCAGCGATCATGTCGCTTTCCTGTTGCTGCTCTTGCCGTTGATGATCGTGGTATTTGCCTCGGCCGCTGTCTGTTCAGGCGTATCAAATATGCAGGAAGTGCAAGCCATAACCAATTGCATTAGTCTCGGCACCGGGCACCGGGCACCAGGCATGGGGCAACATATCAAAGCTGCCTGGCGCCTTGGCCAGCTTTGGCTAACTTGGCAAAACCTGACTGATCTTATTCACAGGGAAATAGAGAGAGAGAGCGAGCGAGATAGAGAGAGAGGGGGCTGTAGCACCTCTAATTGTCATGCAAATACCAATTATCATTTGTCAGTAATGCCACTTAGAATAATGTGTCTATGTATAATTAAATGCCAGCGACTGATTCTTTGATCGATCATTACCAACCAGCTACAATCTACAATCTACAATCTACAATCCACAATCTACGATCTACGATCTGCAATTTACGATCAGCGATCGTCGCGATATAGATCAGAACTCATGAACTAAGCTCTCGCTGATTAATTCATTAGCAACTGTCGACCAGTTTGTCAGTTACACGCATTTGACAACAGGCCTTACTATATGAACTTGCCGTTGATCGTGCTTATAACGAATTGTCATTATATAAAGAATTGTCAAGGCAGAAAATCTTTGTTTTTATGCCTGTCGTCTATGCTACATGAAGTATTGCTTAATTAGCTCTACGATTTGCATATGTCAAAGCAAAGAACTCACCCAATGGTCAGCATATTGCCTCTCTAACAGCTCTACATGGCATAGTAAAGCCATAATTAATGTGGATTCTAATTAATTTTCTGTATGCAGATTCGAATGGAATATACCCTAGGAATATGCATATGTATGTATTCACATATATAAATATTTTATTAAAATTCCCAAAGACTTGACTGTCACTCACAAATTTTAACCCTAAACAAAATTATACAGATAATAATGGCATATTTTTATAAAAAACTTGTTACTCATTTAAGAACTTGTCTGGGATCCACAGCATTTCAAGCGCCTCTTCTTATTGGATTCTATGTGTATAACTATATAGATTGGCCGAAACGCGCTCGTGCATTCGAAAATCGTTTATACGGTAAGCAATAGAGTTAACTCCATAACGAAATCAACAAATCCAACCAATTGTGCTAGGCAAAGCTTCCGGAGAAATCAACGACGAATTTCAAGGAAGATAAGGTCCAAAGGAGTTATAGAAACCCCAATTTGATTCTTGCTAGGCGAAATAATTATCGTGATGATGAGAGCCTGGACGTTTATGAATGCGCAAAGCCAAATTCACGCAGTCAAATGCAAGTCTACGATTCTAACTGCTCTTTTCAATTGACTTTGATTTGGGGAATATTTTAAGCAAATTTAAGCTACACGTACAACAATTATTAATAAAACAATTGCATCCTGAGAAAACAAGCTCCTGGCGAGAGCTTCAGGTAAAGAAGGAAGCAAATGGTTACATATTAACCGTTCTCTATCTACAAGATGTTTTACTTGCTAAAAAAAAGAAAATGGGGATATTATAGAAGAATTTAGGTATATTTCTTGGTAAAAACAAAAAAAAAGTGGGGATAATATAGAATTTAGGAATATTTCTGTCATATGTGAGTCATATAGTCTAGTTTTTTGCTTCTATAGTGGGTTAACACTGTGTTTAAATGCAAACTGTATAGTAACTCTCGATTTCCAATCGTCAATTATCAAATATATCTAATAAACTTAACTCTTTATATGAGGAGGGTATACACATAGGTAAAATACCATATAGCTGGACAGAAAATGAACAAAACCAACATACTCTCCTCGCTTCAGGAATAGTATTAATCATGGCTCACGAAAAGTCGCTAGCTAAATAAAAGTATTTAATTCGAATTCGCAACTTAAATGAATTTACAGATTATCTTTCAAAATACTTTACAAATATTTAAATAAATTTGCTTACAACCCAGATCCACTTCTGCATCGCATACACCATGCAGTATACCCCTCTGTCGCATACCCTGTTTTCGAGTTTGACACTTTGCCAGCTACAAGGGAGAATGTTGAGAGCCCACAATTTATGGCGCTTAAATTGCAGTCATGCGCATGAGCTAACAAGCTCAACGTCTGAGCCGTTTGAGGAACCTACCCAAACCGAGGCGTATTAAATACCCAATCCCCTTTCCATAAATAACCCCCCTCTCGCTGCAGAAGCTAATGCGATTGCGGCTTTGGGGCGGATGTTTGGTGTCAAAACACGCAGCGCATTTTCCGTGGAATTTCAGAGCGGATCCTTGCACCTCATCAACGGCTCCAGCCTCCATCTTGGACGCTGTGTCCCCACACCGTCCGCTTCATCGAGCTGCTTAATTTATGTTAGCGACGTGTTCGCTCAGTGAAAACAAACGGATCGATCGCAAAATGGGAACGATGCATCGATCGCCGCTTGGGCTATAAAAATAGTGGCCCAATGTTTTGTTGTTGTTGTTGTTGTTGTTGTTGTTGTTGTTGTTGTTGTTGTTGTCGTCGTTGTTGCTGTTGTTGCTTTTATCAATTTGTGTTCATTTCTAAGCACGAATCAAGCAGCATAGATCATAAAATTCTTTGCCCCCGGCCCATGGTCAATGTAAGGAAACAACAACAACTTGGAAATTTACATAATTACCGCTGGCGGTGCTTTTCATGAGAGCCGCCCAAACGTGTCAAAATGAAAAGTGTTGCATGATTAGCGCGTAAATAACACGGCCAGGGCATAAATCTCAACGTCGAGTGGTCGGACTCCCCAGCCAAGGAGCTGGCTTTGGGTAAGATAATCAAATAAATGTACCGATTAATAAAGATGAAGATGCTAGCCGAGCTCCGCAGCGTCAGGCAAAAGAGAGATGGAGAGAGAGGCAGGAAGAAAGAAAACAACCGTGAATGAATGACTATGGGGTACCCATTACCCTTTAGCTATTATTATTTTTACTGCTTCTTCGTACTCATTCTTCTCTTCTTTTATGCCATATTTCTAATTAATTTTTCGTCTTTTATATGTAAATGATGTATATATAAACTCGTATATCAATTTTGGAGTCGACGATCAGCTTTTAATCGAATATTATCAAACCTGTTATCAAAAGAGATGTTATAATTTAATAATAATATAATAATAATGTCATGAATAAAGGCAAATAAACCAGGTAAAACACTTCGTGCTATTTACACCAAAATATCTCTTCACATTATATATCTAGGCACTCGCCAGATATACCCCATTGATAAAGCTTTAATGGGCATATGCAAAACAGAGAGTGAGAGAGAAAGAGAGAGAGAACCTAACAACAATATCAATGTGGCTGCTGATGTGGCCAACTGGCTGATTAGCCAACCAGCCAACCAGGCAGCCAGCTGTTTTGGTTCGCCTGGCGCCTGCAGCAACAGGAGTCCGCCTGGGCGCAGCCCCGCCTCCTCCTTGGCCTGCCCCCCCATTGTGGGAGGTGTGAAATGTGTGACGAGGCGTAGGGAAGGGGGCGGCCAACACATTGCCAAGTTGTAGTCGCCAACGGGCTAACATGACACATGGCTGTAGCTGCAGCTGTAGCTGCTGCATAACTTGGTCAGTAATAAGCCAGAGCCAACAAGTGATACGGCCTGTGCCCGTTGGCCCAAGATGAAAACCGGCCAAGTTGTTCGCTCATATCGCAGATGCTGCGATAGACAGCAATTCCTTAACACGTCCCGAGGACCGCAGGCCGGCAAAAAATATGAAATGAAAAGAAACAACAAAAAACTGTTAGCATTAAGATGAACAGACGCCAAATACCCTTGCAGATAGGCCTTTTGACAGAGAGTATTATATTTAAATATTAAAAAAAAAGATTTTAAATTATGAGCTTTCAGCTTTTCGATATTTGATATAATAGTCAAAGATATTACTGTTAACTTATGAATATCATGAATAATATTGCTGACATTTCCGTCATGTTGGTTTAATTAAAATCTATTTAATTGAATTTAACTCCATTCTCAACACTTTTCATAACATTTTACCACACTTCTCACAGTTGCTGTCAAAATAGTAACACAAGTGGAATATAAATTTGCAATGCCCACGATTTTCTCCCTCTCTAATAACGAGACCTGTATAGACGGGGAAATATTTCAGAAATGATATTACTGTAAACTTAAAGCGTAGTAAGCTTTGTATATATATTCAGTTTTATATGTTAAAAATATTAATAATTCGTTGTTTTAGCAAAAAATCCTTTTAGAATATCTTTGAAAAAATATTTAGATATTTTGAGATTTTAATTATTACATTGAATCGAATAAATCAAAAATTTAAACACTGAGAGCCTTCTTTTATAAATATGACGGTAAGTAAAACTAATTACCTTAAAAATATAATATATGAAAGGTAATTTATTAATATCAATACTAATATAGAATAAGACAAACAATATAGAAGAATATCAAAAATCTCAGAAATCTTCAAGCTTAAAATCTACAGATTAGAATGTGTTACATACATCGTCAGCGATGTCTCATGCCCTTTGTGAGGGTATTCAAAAACTTGTTAAGAGCAAAATGTTGTTAGCGTAGTTGCAATCACTTTTGGCCTGTTATAAAGTACCATTTTTTAGCGGGTTTCATATTACCGTTGCGTTGCGGTCAAGGTCTTTACATGTGTCGCTTTCATTGAGAGACATAACCGATTCTTCATATATGCCTTTGCATATACATATACATATATGAATACATATAGAAGGCACATTGTATTGCTTACCAGTTCAGTTGTTATTTGCGTCCCTTTCCACAGATAAATTAGTTTTCCATGTTCAGTTGTCACTTGTATCGCCTGGCTTGTGGCTAATCAGTTGGCCAACTGCAATTTGCAAGCATTTTAGGCCCTAACTAATTGCCAATTTCTTACGTTTTACCATGCCCTTGCGGCCACACACTGAGAGAGCGCGCCTCTGATAGGGCATTTCCTTCTTTGGCCACGTAAGTGGCTTATTGCCCTTGAATTTGCGCGTTTGTCCGCACGACGGCTGACGACAAATGCGCTTAGCATTGCAGAGAAATAACTTTATTTCATTATTTAATCACATTAAACTCGCACACTTATGCGAACAAAGGTACAGAGCACAATCGACTTGCTGACAAAGTTTTGGTCTAAGTGTAAGAGAGCAAGAGTTCGCAACCAACACATCAATTTAAGCCAAAATCTGAAATACACCTGTTGCGCACGCACAATGAGAATCACGCACATTCACACACACAAGTTCATAGACCCTGAAATAAATTTATCAATATATGTATATGTATGAAAGACCTAAATCTAATAGACTTTGCTGCCTGCCTGTCTCGTTTGGCCTGGTCTGGACCAGGCAAACACTTTTACTCCGCTGCTTATCGCAGTGCCCATAAATAAAGCTCACGTCTATTAGCGTTGTCATTAATTTTCCTATTTGGAAAATATGTAAATTAAACGCTGATTAATTGCTGGCAGGAAAAGTGAATCGGTTTCCCTGTAATAGACGACGCGTCGGGGCGGCTAGTTACGAACAGAGTTTCATGCCGCTCGATCCTCAAGTGTTTCCGTAGTGTAGCGGTTATCACGTGTGCTTCACACGCACAAGGTCCCCGGTTCGAACCCGGGCGGGAACAAGTCTTTTGTTTCTCTTTTCATTTTTCCACAATTATTATTTGCACGCAATTTTATTGCTATATTTAGTTGCTTACATGTGTAACTTTTCCCTTTTTTGTTTTTTATCAAGTTCATGCGTGTAGAGGCCAGTTTACACGCAAGCAACACATGTAGTAAATGCATGTAAATACACACACGCCTGCACCTTAAGGTAGTTTTATTTAGTTTTAATGAGCCTCGTTTTACGATCATTTAGGTGTGTGTGTGCGTGTATGTTGTGTTATATTTATAAACATACAACCCTCGGCACACACGCACCGATTTCAACTGTTGCTGTTTAACGAGCCGCCAATGTCAGCCCCTGCATGACTTCCAGTCCTGACACTTTTATGGTTTTCATTTATTGACCCCAGCGCCTTTTATTGAGCAGCGCACTCAACGCATGCCACCCATAGCGGAAGCGGAATGTTCTATTGAATAGCTATAGACTTGAAGCAAGAACTCTCTCAAGCTTAATGGGCTATATTGACAGATTCTTCGTTCTAATTAACATTTTCAGGTTCTATAGATATAGCTATATATAAAAGTGTGCAGTGCTTTTCCGAATCATTTAACAGACTTTGTTGTTTTAACGACTTTGTTTATTTTGCTGTTCTCGCTTGAAAATTAATGAAGTCTGCTTTGCCTTTGCTTTTCATTTGATGTGAAAGTTCAACACGGTTTGGCTGCTTCATCTATGCAAGTTTCCGTAGTGTAGTGGTTATCACGTGTGCTTCACACGCACAAGGTCCCCGGTTCGAACCCGGGCGGGAACATTCTTTTTATTATTTTTTTATTTTATAGTATAGTATACAATGTAGTTGCTATTATCTCCCAACATTGCTGCTTATGTTGCAATATTTATTTTACCAATAAGTTAAAACACTTAGAATTAAAGCTTAAAGCTTTCACGTGAAAAGCTTTTTTGTTTTCTCAAGGGCTGTCTACTGCTTTTATTTTTAACCGGTTTTGTATAGTGCAGAGGCCCTTAAATAGAATCAAAACTACAACGCATTCAACAGGGGATGTAGCTCAGATGGTAGAGCGCTCGCTTAGCATGTGAGAGGTACGGGGATCGATGCCCCGCATCTCCAAGTGGTTTTTTTGTTTCTTGATTTTTTAAAAATTTTTTTTTCTCTTTTAATATTTGACTACGTCTGATTGACAAGCTATTTAAGAGAATTATTTTGTGGAAATATTATGCTGGCTGCATCTTAGCTCTTACTAAATGATTCTAAATGTCAATTTTCACACGCATCCGACATGTTATGCAATCGGGTTACAGCATTAGATTTTACTAGTTTTCCGGCTGTGCACCCATTGCGCCTGCTGCCAGAACGGGAAAAGCGAGCCAAGCCGGGACAGAGCTCGGCGACGCTAATCCAATTAAGCTTATTCATCATATTCACGCAAACGCAGGCCATGAACTAGAAAGGCAACCCGCAAATAAAATAAAGAGAGAGGGAGGCAGAGGAGTTATATGAATATCATGAATAATAATGCTGACATTTCCGTCATGTTGGTTTAATTAAAATCTGTTTAATTGAATTTAACTCCATTCTCAACACTTTTCATAACATTTTACCACACTTCTCACAGTAACTGTCAAAATATTAACACAAGTGGAATATAAATTTGCAATGCCTACGATTTTCTCCCTCTCTAATATCAAGACCTGTATAGACGGAGAAATATTTCAGAAATGGGGAAACCGAAAGCTATTCATTTCATTCATTGAATATCGCTGCCCATTTTGGCTAATTTAACAGAGTTAGTTACATATCCAAAGCAGCGATATTATCGTTGTTAATTGAATTTATTGAATTCACGTAAATATTTTTAGCCCGTCATTAACCGGTTGGCTATATTGGCTATCTAATCTCTTCATTAGATTCGCCTGCTAATATTAGCATTGGCATTGATATTGGCATTCAATAATTGCAGTTGAGGTGGGCAGGTGGGAAGCCAGCTGTTCTGTTCCACTGCCGCTGCTGCTGCTGGGGCGAGTCTCACCTGGTATGGTGTATTTTCTATACGTCACGTAGACAGCGCAACACCCATGAAAAGACTAGAAATCAGAAACTGTATACTCGACTGGCCATAAATTTGTGAAAAGCTACAAAAGCAAATAAACAGTTGATTGCAGAAATTTGCAGCTGAGATAAACCGACGTAGAGCTGAAAGTACAATACCCTAATTTAATATAAAGACTTTTAAGATAAGATTCAAGCTTATGTTGGTCAATTTTGGTCAGGATGACAATCAATATTTTACATTAAAATGCTGGCATACGCCCATAGCTCGATTCTGATTAAATTCTGATCTGATTCTGATCGCTTCTAAAACCCCTCACATTCTAATAGCAATTTATTGGTTCTCTATTTTTCAGAGGTAAAATTAAAGCCGAAGAGTCCCAATCTTAGAGAATGACCTTCACTTGCATCGGTTGCTTGCCCAAAAAGCATTTTACTTCAGGTACGATCTACATAAATATACACGTTTACATTATCTAATCAGAAAACATACATACATACATATGTACATACAAGTTACACGCGACCCATCACAATACGGATTAAAAGCCGTTACAAAATAGCCGACGAAAAGCGTTACAAAACGTAAAAGCGTGTCTTATATGTACAGCAAATGGTAGATAAAAGTAGACGAAAAGGTTGTTTAGCGATAGTCCAATTAGAAACGGGTAGGCCGGTGCGATCAGCTGACGCGATTGCAAAAGTGAAAGGTAAACAAAAACAAAAACCCCAGCTGATAGATTCTTTTTTGAATTTCTACAGACTTCTAATCAGCCGACAGCATTTATCAGCGCATTGCGCATTGAATGGGAGCAAAGAAACAACATAGAAAAAATAGAGAGAGAGAAGAGAGAGAGACAGCGAGAGAGAGAGAGAGTTGCGGAACGGAAGGCAGAGCAAGCGCCTTCGCCGTGTCATTGTGATCTTCAGGTTTCCCTGATAAGCAGATAATAAAAAAATATTCCTATTTTTTTTTTTGCTTTCTTTTTCTTTTTTTTGGCAAATTTTGCGCGTGCCGAGTGACGTCGACTGCGACGTTGACTGCTACGTCATCAACCAAAGTGCTTTGCGATTTATGCTTTATGCTGACTTTTGTGCTTTTTTGCCGCTGCAAAGCTGGAGATGGGGTAAAAATTAACCGATGAATGGCTGCGAGCACGAAAATTAGTTGAAAAATATATACCTATAATATATATCAGTAATATATTTTAAAATAATTGTAAAAACATTTATTAATAATATAATATTCAAATAACAAATATTTAAATTTAGTAATTACAATGTTAAGCTATAGTTTGCTACTTTATTTACCATACCATTCAATTTATAAATCATTATTGGCCTAACTGACATACATAACTTAGATATGTTAATATATCATAAGAATAGCATTGATCTGCTCTCATCTCTAGCAAACACTTTTCTTCTCTGTTTGTTGCCAAGTGCCGGAGAGCTTTTGTGCTTTGGCTGCTGCGTTTGCCCATATTCTGCCTCAGGTTTCGTCTATTCATGCGAAATTTTGAGCAGAGTTAAGTGAATGAATGTGGGAACTTGAGCGATCGACGACAGCAACAGCAGCAGCAGCAGCAGCAGCAGAAACGGCAAAAACAGCAACAACAATTCAAGGCCTACGTGACTGGTCTCACATATGTATATAGCTGGGGTTTGTGGGTGCAGAGTCTCCTCGCTTCGCATGTATTTTCACAACGGGGCAGTCTGTATAAAATTGATACTATAAATGTTTGTCGCAATTTGAGCGCAAATTGTAATTATTCTCACTGTTACTCAATTAGAGCTGAGCGCACACCGCACACCACATGATCGCGGCTATTGTCACACGTGCTAGCTTGCCTGTCTGTTACGACAACGGAGAGGTCTTTGACTGTCGGGTAAAGAGATAGCTAAATATACGAAGATAATAAAAGACGCTCTCTCTCTCTCTTTCTCTCTCTCTCTCTCTCTCTCTCTCTCTTTCTCTCTCTCTCTCTCTCTCTGTAGCATTTGACTTCATTTACCATTTTCTCCAACAGATTTTTAGCAAATGAAGGGGTTCGCATGGAAAATAAACACCATTAATATTTGTAGAATGTTTTCAGCATAGTATAATTTATTTCATGAAATTTCAATATCTTTGTGTATCCATAGTCTTCAGTCTTAAAATAAATATATAAAATGTACTTAAGTTAAACAAAAATCATGCTCTATCTAATAACTATAATTAAGATCTATGTATGCGTATATACAGTTTGAAAACGTAACTTATGGCTACATTAGATCAGGAACTATAGCACGTGCATATCGGTGGGTGCGTCTAGGTAGTCGATAGGTAGTTCTATTGGTATTTTATTATCCGGAGACTCAGAGGGCGGCACTGCGCTCCACACAGAGCATTACCAGCAACTGCAACAGCAACAATTGGAGGCTGGAAAGTGTATAGAATATGGAATTTAATAATATTTTCGGTTAGATCAAAGATTAAAAGGTAACAGGGGAAGAGCAACGAGGGGCATAAAAATGAATCGCATGCCAAATATCAAATAATTTTATGAAATTTTGTAGTTTGCATTTCATTTTACAATATTCTTTTGTTATGTTTTGTTTCGTGCAAAATGTCAAATGATTATTTTTTCTAAATTAAATTTTTAATTACCATGCAAGAAAAAATTAAACAAAAAATGAGACAACCCATCGAGAAATAAAAAGCTCAAATTTGTCTAACTACCTTTCTTTTAGCTACATCACGCTTACCATTAAAATATTATTTTCATTTTGTTTTATATTTATTTTCATTCCACTCAATTGCAAACACATGTTTTTGTTTTTTTAATTTTTTATAATCTTAATTTTATATTTTTTTTATGTGTTTTTCGTCGTACGTTTAAATATTACTACAATAATTTGTTAGTCTACATTTTTTGGGCTTAGTTTAAAATTTATAAATTAATGTTTAATATGTTTATAATGTAAAATATAATAAATTAATAACCTAAAAATGTATATTAAAATTATATGAAATTTATATCAAATAATTTCACGCAAATAAATAAAAATAATTACAGGTTAGTTCTAGTATTTAATTCAAATACAATTTTTGATTTGTGAGTTTTTGCTTTAAGATTATTCATTCTATTTTTTTTTTTTTTTTTTTTTTTTAATAGTTTTATCGTTTTTTTCGTTGGCTTTATTGTTTCGTTTATGGCTTTTAGGATTTTCATGATTTTCGTTTTGCCGCACTTAAGATTGGTTCACATAGCTTAGACTACGTACTGAGAGGCAGCGAGGTTCGACAATACCACAATTAAATTGAATATATAAATATATGTATTTATATATAAGTGGGGATATTTATAATAATCGTCTGACTGACTAATCGCAATCGTAAATCTATTTACAAAACAATTTTCGCATGCGAACTATTCGAATTGTCACATTTTGCACATATGTACTTATAGACTCTTGCTGTTGCTTCTATATTTATAATATTGATTTGCTGTATAAGGAAAACATGTTTTATAACTTTTGCAAGCTTTGCATTGTTTCAGATTTTGTTTTTTGCCTTTTTCTTCAATTTTGAGTGGTCGTATTTTTGAGTATTATTTATGTTATTTGTTTAAAAGTTTAAGAGCAGAGACTCAAGTATTTCGAATAGCCTGTAAATAGCTAAAGTAAATTGTATATTTGGCTAGTTGAGTTATTTGATCGATAAATAAAATAGTTGTTAATAAAGTATAATATGAGCGTGCAATTTGATATATATATGTATATAAATATTTTCGCTTTATATGGATCGGTGCCAATAGAAAAACACTTAAGCAAAAAATACTCGAGACTCCGTTTTGTAGTAATACATCATTTAATTTGATATTCTTATTCGTGATCGATTGCAGACGCGCATCAAGCTATTATTTTTATCGATAATTATCGACATCTGGGCGCTGCATCAAAAATACTTTTTGGGACCACAGTCGTTGGATAAACATCATATACATATCAGGTGTATGTATATCTTCGATGCGGTGTTTTGCTTTGTGGTTGTGTGGTGTGTTGTGCAGTGTATTGCATTTCTCGGTGTGTATGTACGTACGTGTATGTGTGTGTGTTGTGTGGTGTGTGTGGGTGTATGAAAACTTGCAAATTACAATATCGCATACTCAAGCCAAACTTTTTACAAGATCTTGCTCGATTTCTTAGTCATATAGTGGGATTACTTAATATTTTCATTTTGCAATTCCATTTTAATGCCTTTAAAAAAAAAATAATTAAAAAACAAATAAAACAAATATTCAGTTAGACAATTTGACACATTTTGTACGTTTTCAAAATACCAAAAAAAATATATATATATATTTATAAATACCAATTATTGAAATTCATTTAAAGACGAAGTATTAATTTTGAAAAAAAAAAAGAAATAAAAAACAACAACCAAAAATAAAAATTTCGCAACAGTACAAAATGTGAGAAATGTAAATAGATAAAAGTTAATGCCAATTAGATAATAAAAGTATGCCAGAAACAAATTCAATATTGAAATATAATTTGGAAAATTGTAAAATTTGGAAAAATGATTTGTATTAGTTTTGTTTTTGTGTTTTTTTTTTTTTTTTTTAGGCAAACTCACAAATCAAGCTGATCGTAGTAGACCGAGTCGTCCACAGCGGAGCCGCGCGCCTGGCCCTCCAGCGTGGCATTCTCGTAGCTGCTTTCCGGCTCCTCCTGCGAGTCCAGCTCCGGCAGGTCGTCGTCCTCCTCCTCCGCATCGTCTTCGCTCTGTGGCTCCTCAACGCTGGCGTGGGACATGCGCACATTGCGCTCGACCCGATCGCTCGTCTCGCTGAGCGCCAGAGCAGGCAGCGATGAGCTGCTCTCCCAGCTGTTGCTGTAGCCCGGCGTTGCCAGGCTGCTGGCCACTGTGGTGCTCGTCGTCGTTGTCGTTCTCACAGTCGTGCTGCTCGGGTCGAGCAGGCGCTGCAGCTTTCTCGTACTATTGCGTTTGCTGGCATTGCCTGGCCGCTGCCTTTTGGGTGCGTTGGGGCGCTGCTTGGGCGCTTTTCGCTTGCCAGACGCGCCGCCTGGCCTTGGCCTTTGCATGACGCCCTTGGCGACGACACCAGACGCTGACGCTGCGGCGGCTTTGCGTTTGGCTGCAGGGCTGCCGGACTTCTTGCCACATTTGGGCGGCGGCGCACCTGTTCTGGCTGCCTCGTCGCGCAGGTCCTTGCACAGCTGGGCCTTGGGACCGCGCTGGAGTGTGCCACGCCTCTGACAGTTGTGCGTTTGCTCCTGCTCGTGCGGCCGGCACTTGCGCAGCTTTTTCTTCCTCTTGTGCTGGGTTATGTTACTGCTAAGATTACTGCTATTGCTACTGCTACTGCTACTGCTACTGCTACTGCTACTGTTAATGTTATTGTTATTGTTACTGGTAATGCTACTGCTAATATGGCCGCTGTCGCTTTGACTACCGTTACTAATACTAATCAGGCTGCTGGCGCTGTACGCAGGCACAGGAACGTTACTGCTACTACTACTACTAATGCTATTGCTACTACTACTGCTGCTGCTGCTTCTGCTGCTGCTGCTGCTTCTGCTGTTGCTGCTGCTGCTGCTGCTGCATTTGGGTCGCGGCTTAAAGTGCAGCGCATCGATGAGCTCAATCAGCGGCTTGCCGGTATCACAGAGTTGGCGCACGCCATGCTTGACGCGATTGGCACCAAAGTTCTTGGCTATCAGCTGCTCGACCCGCTGCTGCGGCACCGTCTCGGTGATCGCATTCGTGTAGGTGGACAGCTTGCCCAATGTCCTGGTCGCCGGAATTTGTGTGCGACGCGGCGCACCTTGGCCAGTCAGCGCCAAATAGAACACTCGTCTCGCATTCGAGTTGTATGTGGAGGAGTATGTGTTGTAGTTGTGCAGCTCCATGTTCTCATTGAACACACAGTTGTCGTCGAATTCTTTCTGTAACAGTTGAGAACTAGAATTAAATTATTTGGCTAGAAAACGGGCGTCATATAAATATGTTTAAAACTAGCTTGATAACTTAAAATTTTATTAGAAATAAGGCAAAAGTACGAGAACTCTTAAGTAGAGAAAAATGTTAATAAAAATGTTACCATGTTAGTTAACAGCACTTTACTTACGCATGTGTATCTGCTTGTTAAGTTAACAGAATCAACATACATAGGGAAACTAACTGTGCTAACTCGGACTGATAACATTTCTTTAAAGATATGTAAATGTTATGCTCACAGCATTTGCTGGTATGTTATAGTAGAAACTATATTATTTAACAGCGCGAACAACAGAGACTGCTATAGCTTAACATCTGTAACGCTAACAGCTGCTGTTAAGCGAAAAGAATGCTTTACAGATTATTCTTCGAGCTCTACTTAGGCATTTTGATGGACAATTAATGTGAATGGCATCCATGCTGTTATGCATAATACATACAATTGCCATCGCATAGAGGCTAATAACAAATCGAATGGCTGCGTTGATGCCTGCTCATATGCATAACAAACGACTGGGCCAAGCTCGAGCGGGAAAACCCAAGCATATTTGAGTAGAGAACCAAATGCCTGGGGATGGCTGGCGGCCTTGTTGAAGGCTCCTGTCGGTGGCCGCTTTTGTATCTGGCTCGAATGGGTATCTGTTAGATAAATGTGCTCATTATCACAGGATGTGCTCGCTATCGGCGTTGGCGATCGATAGACGCCGGCACCCTGACGATAGCACTGGCCCTGACCCCGAACCTGACCCAGACCATAAAGTTGCCTACTTTATGAAAGCCACATGACAGCCGCACAAAAGGACAACAAAACAAGTCGCAGACTTCAATTATTTTCGTTTAGGTAGAAATGTAAAGCAGCTACAAAGGATTGAGAGAGAGAGAGAGAGAGAGAGAGAGAGAGCTGCCAACTTCGAACTGAGAAATGGGAACTAAGAAGTGGGAACTGAGAAATGGGAACTGAGAACTGGGCTGTGTCTGCATCTGTGGCCTTTAGATGCGCCGCCTGGGCGCTTTAGATCAAATTCAATTAACAACATTGAATTAATTCGCTTGTCAGGCAATTAAAATTGTTTCGAGACTCAACTTCCATGTGGAAATGTCGACGATTAAATTTAGAAATTAATCAGCCCAAATGTCGCGCCGACTGCCGGCTACACCAATTTGATATGAAATGAGCCGTCCACCAACTAGAGGGCCTCACTAGCCAGATTGAGGATTGGGGAGGGCGTCTGCGAAATATGGCTGAAATGTTGACGCCATTCTTCTAGGGAAGAGGCCGCAGCCTAGAATAATTTTCCGACACACATATGACAACAGAATGTGGCAATCGGCGCGTGTGTCTCGCTCGTGGCGTCTTTAATGTATTTTCTCCTTATTTTTTATTTGTTATTTCCCTCGTCTAATTTTAGCCTTAAATTAAGTGAAAATTGCAGTCGGAGCGAAAGGAAATGAAGTCGTACGCCACAGAGATAGCTGTAAATGCGAGCCTATCAAAGCCATTAGCTGAGCACTTGCCGCCTTATCAAAGCTGGCGCCAGGTGGAAAGGGTCAAGGGTCAGCGCTTAGACGCACGCCTACAACAAGATTAGAGCAACAAATAGCAAATGATGGACTAGCAGATGCTCTATTAACAGGCCAGCAAACCTCGAATAATATACGAAAAACAAGAGTTATAACATTTTGAAAATAGAAAATCTAATGGATATAAGTTTTTACCGGTTTTGTTTTGTTTCCAAATCATAATATCCCTCTTCTCGGCTATTGTCAGTTGCTACAGGGTATATGAAACGGTACCACACAAGTCCAACAGAATTTTTTTTTTTTGGGTCCAGCACTATCAGCTGGAACAGGACCATAACAATGATAATGCGGCAACATATTCATTGGCCTCTGATTCTGGCTCGCATGACAGAGCATTAATTGATCGCCGTGTAGCAGGCGGGCGCTGCGGGCGGTCCGTTTACGTGGAGACTCCAGTCGCAGTTCGAATTATGCAAATTAATAATCACATTTGTATACTTATGGCTAAAACATTTTAATTGGCCAACAGCGCTGACTCACACGCCTCCCTTTGCTCAGTCCGTCTCTTAATCACTCTCCCTCTCGCTCTTGCTCTTTCTCATTCTCATTCTCATTCTCTTTCATTTGAAATTTATGAATTGGCAAACGTTTTGGGCTTTCAATTAGCCGCCCCATTAGGCAACTAATCAAATCAGCTGCCAGACGGTCACAAGATCAGAATGCGGCTGGCATTTGAAATAACGGGCCGAAAAGCCAACGTAGGCCATTCGCAAGTGCATGAAAATCTATTTTAAGCTGCTGAGAAAGTGTCTCGAATGGAAATCTATAATTATATATAAATATATTTAAATGAGCTATTATGGCCAGATGCAGGGGATTTTGTTTGCTTATCGCCTGCTCTTAGAGCACTGTATAAATAGCTGCAATAAAGCGTAAACAAATTGCTTAATACAACACAAAGTTGTCTAGCAGCTGACTCTGATTGAAAAATATTTAAAAATTAAGTTATATATATATATAACTTTGATGACGCTTGTAGACAATTATAGAAAATGAAAATGATTTTAGAGACAAAAATTATTATTTATATATTATGAAAATGAAATTTGTATATTAAATAAAAATGTCTTTCAACAAATATATCAAGCGTGACTTTTAATTTAAGGAACTGATTTTTAATGAAGTTAAAATTTATAATAGATTAGTAAGAAACTAAATTACAAATTATTTACTTTCTTTTAATGATTAATGGTAAAGTTTACTATAGGATATATGCTCTCTAGTTAGGAACTAAGTTTGCTTAGTTTCGCCGAAAACCCGAATGTCAGACAATACAAATTGATGCCACTTCCGTTGCCCAACTCAATTCAAACTCAGCGGAAATCATGAATTTTAGATTTGACCGCTTCAAATTGAACTTTAGAGAAAGCTAGAGCGTGAGAGAGACACGGATAGAGCAAGCAAGTCCCTTCTGGTTGCTTCTTTTTGCTTAATTGTCGTAATATTGTCGGCAAAAAAAAAAAAAAAAAAAAAACAAAATAAGAAAAGTGTACAAAGGCCGCCCAGTCAGAACGCCCACTTGACCAACTTAGTGAAAATGCTTGAAATGCGGCGCCATCAAAAGGACCGCAAAGTACACACATGAGACAGACAGAGATGCTGCGTCCGCTGAGGCGCATCAATCAACACCAAAGTATCTGCAGCTATGGCTGCGAATGTATCTGTCAGATACAAAACGCGCCGTTGCGCGCTTGACAGAATTGGCACAAACGCGTCTATTTTGGCTGCGCATGCGAAAAGGTCAAAGTGCGGCGACAAAACACAACAACAACAACAGCAATAACAACAACAACAACATATGCAGCCGCTTGGCGCCAGACGGCGAGAAATGCGACGCGCACTGCAGCGGGGAGTCCAGGCGATCAGAAAAAACTGTCACATTAATTATCGACAGGACATGCCAGGACCCGACTCACTTGCCACTCGACAAAGCACCCCAGAGTGAGCTAAAAAAGAAATCGAAAAAACCGAAACTAAAACCAAATCGAATCTACGAATAATAAGAACAAGGGTTGGCCCAAAGGACCTCTTGACGGATGCTGTGTGTGTGTGTGTTTGTTTGCTCTGCCAGTTGCCTTTTGTTGTTGTGCACCTCAGTTAATTTCGTTATTTATAGCACTTAATGTTTGTTCCCTTCTCTGTGGGCCTTCGTTTGTTTGCCTTTGCCTTTGTTATTGGCTATCATCGAAATTTGCCGCTTCACTTGCTTGATAAGGCCACATAATTTGTTATTGAAATAACAATTTTCGGCAACAATTCATTAATATTTATTATTATTCCACTACTGTGCGGCAGATGGCGCAACAAACGAAATAATGAGATCGCAATTCAATAATAAAATATGAGTACAAGTTGAAAAAGAAATACAAATCGCATTGATGGGCGTTGATGAAGAAGGGATTAGAATTGAATATTAAAATAATGATTATAAACCAATTTGATAGTTTGAAAAGAAAATCTATATATTAAAAATACTAAAAAAAAAAAAACTTTTATTTAAATCTGAACATTTTTCACTTGCTCTAGGTTATCGACTATTTTTGATCTATGCAGATCTATTGAATGGTTTACTTACCGAGGCATAGGCCGCGCCACACGCATCCATGCACAGATACAAGCAGGTTGCCACACTTTGTATCTTAATGCGACCCACATCCACAGTGGAGCGCTGCAGAATGGCTGCAAGAAACGAAAAGAAAGCAGGTCATTAATTAATTATCAATCAATTTCCAACGGCGAGCAGCTGCCCAAAAAGTAATATATACACCATATCTGAATGCATATACATATGCTTAAGAGCTCAGAGCACAAAAGCCGCTTGATTAGCCCAACCAGAACCAGTGTGTCAGGATGTCAGCCCAAAAGGCCAGACCCAAGCTGACCAACTGCCAAAGCTGTTAATTAAATGTCCGACACTTTTAAATGCTGTCAAAAGAAATTGCAGCCAGCCAAACTGAAAGTCACCCAGCACTGTGTGCAGTGCATCAAAATGCTATTACGAATCCATAAATAATTTAAAGAAAAACAATAAAAACCACACTTAATCAAACAAAGTGAAATACGCCCTCCGGAGTCGAACCCGCCGCGCACTCAATCTAAGCACAGAGCGCGATAGACGAAGCGTTCAGCGTGCAGCGCCACTGCTGTGCGAAATTTGTCAACTGTACAATGGGGCGTTGCGGGCTAAAGTGAGGTTATAAATCGCGTATTTCGAGGTTAATTGAAATTGCTGCCATGAATTTCAAGTTCAGGCGCTGTGTAAAGGTCAAACCACTTGTGTGGCCACAGGGACCGCCTGCTCGACTCCGGCTGCCTGTCAATTTCCCAATCGCCTGGCCAAAGTGTGTCAGCACTTTGTGCCCCACACACAGAAACACACACACACACACATACATACATTCGTTCAATGAACCTTATGCACTTTATGCCATAATAAACAAGATTTTTTATAAATACTTGAACTGCAGCTTGTTATGAACCAATTGAAAAAGTCTTGGCAGCTGCCGCGGATATCATCAAAGCAGCCCAAAACTAAAAAAATTAAAAGAAAGAGCAGATAAAAGATTATTGAGGGAGTTAATGCCGGAACACAGTCCGTGGTTTCGGACTGCCAAAACGAAAGGGAAGAAAAACTATTGAGTGGCCACTTGAGTGACGGAAAAATTGATTTTTGACGCCAAAAAAATCGAAGAAGAATAGCGCAGTGTGTTTGCGTGTGTGTGTTTTTTCTTTAAAGAGTTGTTTACGTTACGGTAATGATCAACTATGGAGTACGGGCTGATTGGCCAGCAGATGGCGCTAGACCCAAACAACAAGCAGAGCATTTCTTTTGCGGCAGCACTTTATGAGCTATGCCCAAAGGAAATGGAAAAGTCTTGGCATATATGTACGTACCCCCAACAAACAGTAATATATTTCTGGAAAAGTCGGCAAGCCGCTGCTAAATCTTTACGATGCAAACTTTTGGTAATTTGTGTGAGCTGTGACAAATGGAAATGGAAAGTACATGAAAATGTTCAAAGAAAATGTGATGGAAAGTAGGCGTAAACTTTTGCCGCCTATGGTAAATGCGTGCACAGAACTTTGTTATTTTATTTGCTAGAAACTGTGTCAAAGATAAGCAGACGCCAGGGCGGCGCAAAAAATAAGTTTTATTGGGAGAAAAAAAGAATTGCTTTCCGCGATTTACGAGTCTGCATATCCGTATCTGTAGCAGCTGGCCAAACTAAACAATTTGGAATGCATTTGCCTTTTCGGTTTATTTACAGCATTACGGAAATTATAAAGTTGCAGCCGGATAAAAGTAAAATTGTGGCTTTTGCTTGATTTATAATTTCCCACCCAAAAACTAAAGCAAAACAAAAAATATATATATCTTCTTTTTTTTAAATCGAAGCCATGAATTATTGCCAACGTTGTTCCTTGAAATAAATGAAAATGAAAACGAGATGAAAAACTAAAATAAATGATATGCTAAGCGCTACACTTCATTTGCTACAGATCTTAAGAGCTGGGCGGGGGATATGTTGGCAGGGGTAGGGGTAGTTGCTGCTCGTAGCAAGTGACAGCCTTTCACTTTGTGTGTGTCCAAATGGCGCTTTTGGTGTTGCATTTCACTTGGTTTGCCCCATTTAAAAACCGATTTGTTTAGCTCGAGTTAACATAAGTAATTTTTCTTGTTTATATCTGTTTTTTATATTTTTGTGGATATATGTTTTTAACATATGAACACTTTTAGTTTGTATTGTGTGTGTGGGACGCACAACGAATCGTTCAAAATTATTAAAATTCCACGCATTTTGCTGCTGTTAGCTCGTTCTTGTTCTGCCTTCTCGCTCTTGCGCTCTCGCTCACTCTGTTGTTGTGCTGCCTGTGCTATTTTTAACCCCTAAAGCAGTAACAACAACAACAATAGCTGCGTGAGAACGAGCATGTCCATTCAATGTACGCAAGAGCAAAGTTCTTTGTGCTGCTTGTATTGATTGTTCGTTAGCACTGCTTGCATGTGGCGCCGTGGCTTAGTTGGTTAAAGCGCCTGTCTAGTAAACAGGAGATCGTGAGTTCGAATCTCGCCGGGGCCTAGCATACTGAAGTGTGCGGTAAATTTTTTTTTTTAATTTTTATTAATACATATAAATTATATTTTTATTTTTAATATTTGTTAAACAAAAAGTATGCATATAATTTAAAAAATCATTTTTCATATCATGATTTAAATTTTAAATTATTTTTTCATGACAAATGTTTAAAAATCAATCTTTTATAAACTAGAAAAATTTTTATGAACTTTACCATTTTTTAAGTTTCTTTTTATACTCATTCACGAAAGTGAATCAGTATATTGGTTTTGTGCAATGTCCGTCTTGCTGTCCGTCCGTCTGTCCGTCTGTCCGTCCGTCCGTCTGTCCGTCTGTCCGTCTGTCCGTATGAACGCAATCTATTTCGGCGCTATTGAAGCTAGAGACTTGAAATTTGGAACACATACTCGTGTATATCTCCGATTTATAAAGTGTTAAAATTTTCCCGATCCGCCCACTAGGGGCGTGGCAAATCGGAAAATGAATTTTCCGATATACCAGAAATCATGTTTGTTGAAGAGCTAGAAAGCTGAAATTTGGTATGTAGGTCCGCGTTGACCACCCAAGATCACGAGTTATGGCGGATATATCTACGCCCATTGGGGGCGTGGCAAATCGGATAAAACTGTATCTCCTAAAGTTGTAAACCTAGAATGCTGAAATTTTGCACGTTAGCTAATGGTATGATTCTATAAAGTCTGAAGATAAATTATAAATCTACGCCCATTGGGGGCGTGGCAAATCGGACCTGAAGATATAGTGATTTTTTAAATTCTCCTATATTTTGGACACTATTGATGGCAGAGACCTCAAATTTTGTATATATACTCGGACTGATCACCCAAGACCAAAAAGTTTTGTCGGATATATGTCCGCCCACAGGGGGCGTGGCAAACCGCAAAAGTTTATATCTCCTGAAGTATAATAGCTAGAAGCTTCAAATTTGGATAGTTGAGTTACTGGTAGCCTCCTCTATCGATTCCCCAAAAATAATTTTTACGCCTCTTTAGGGGCGTTGCATATCGAAAAATACCCTGTAATTTTCACATTTTTTGAGGGTAAGCATTCAAACTTTGCAGTTAGGGTACCGTTATCTCTTTCTAAAAACTGACCAAAAATGAGGTGTCTACGCCCAGTTGGGGCGTGGCAAATCGGAAAAACCTGTATATTCTACAGTATTAGAGCGAAACTTAACTACTAAATTGTTGATGGTATGTGAATGAGTATTCCGCAGTCGGTAACGCCCGACTGCAACGTTCTTACTTGTTTTTTTATAAAACATCCAATAATCTAACTGCTTATGGATCAAATTTGATCCACAACCAAAAAAAAAAGAAAACAACAACAATATAAACCGATAATTCCTTACACTTCACAGAGGTGTGAAATCAATGCATAATAATAAATACCCGAATGATCATTTATTGAACAATAAATGAGCTGGCAGCCCACAAATTGCTCGACAGTTCATTGAACCAACTGTGAAATGTTTTGTGGGGCCAAGCGGGAACAATATGCAGAATCAAACAAATTTGAATCCGAATCGAATGAATATCCGAAATTCAAGGCACGCATCTGAGCTGCTTTAAATTGCCCACATATTAAGCACGTAGAAAAGTCAGTCGGAGGCACGCACTTCCAATAATTAAAATGTCAAAATATGACTGTCAAAAGTCGAAGTTCTCGAAGGTGTACGCGATTGAGTTATGCGACAAACTTCATCAAAAAATTTTCCCCTTCGTGTTTAATCACCGTTGCAGCCGCACAATTTATGCTAATGAGGCCTTAATTTCGAGACTTTGTCACCGACTCGACAGTCGATAATGATTAAATTTATGATCGGCTCTTCAATAAAGGTTAACAATGAAAAAAAAAAAACTTTTTATTTTGGAATTTTTTTTTTTTTTTTTTTTATTGCTCATCAGGCATATTAAATTTAAAAATGCATGAATATATTTGAGAATGTAATTTCCATTATATGTTTAATTATGCTCACAACAAATATAATGTGTGACATATAATACAATTTATGCCGCGCTTTTTGTGGATATTCAACATAATTTGACAGCAGCCCTATAGAGGCCAATATAATGGCCATTTACTACTGTTCGCCGTTTTTATGATCGACTTATGTTTTCTGCCTCTTCATATATTTATATGGTTATGTATATACATATATTATTTATGTATGTGGCCAGCGTATTTTGACAATTTAATAGCATTCACAGCGACAGCGCATATCAATCAAAATAAAGTTGTATCTCACAGATACAGCTGGCACGCAGCTGAACTTTGTGCCACCAAACCAAACTGCTGCTATTAAACACTAATTAATTGCGGTTTATAGAGTTGTCTCTTTAAAGACAATAAATCTTCAGACTTCCAACTAGCAGAGGAAGAATCCGCAACTGCGGGCGCTTAGATAAGCGTCTTATATTTGGGTGTCGTAAAAGATTTAATGGGAAGGGAAGAGACACTTCAATAAAAGTGAAAACGGACTGTAAATCCCACAGCAGGCTCACCCCTATAAGAAGCTGAAAATATATTGAAATACATATCATATCAATTTATATATTCAATTCGCACACAGTTTATACAGTT